GGAGGGGCAGGGCTGGGCGGGGAGGGGTGACCAGCCCTGATCGCCCTGAGGAGATGTAGCCAAGGGGCTGGCTCCCTCATCAATGTAGCTGCCCACTGTGTCTCCCAGGAACTGCCTACTGTGTGGTCTCCACCTCCTTCAAGCTGGCGGGGCTGGCAGGAGACTCTTGGCCTGAGCCCTGGACAGACGGAGCCTCCCACCGCCGCCCTGACATCCCAGCTCACTCATCAATTCAAGCATTCACTCACCCGTCATTCATTCACTGACTCATTCACTCACTCAACCCCCAGTGGGGATCTGCAGCTTGACCAACCTGAATTTGAACCCAGGGCCTCACTCCCTGCACCGCCACATGTATCATGTGACTCCACTAAAACACTTACCTGCTTTGGACTTTACTTTCCTCATCTGGGAAATGGGTTCCAGAATAAACAGTAGCTACTGCAGAGGGTTATTGGAGGACCACATGAGATACTATATGCGAGGCACTCAGCACAGTGCACGGCAGATAGTAAATGTGCCATAAATGTGGCCACTCCTTCAAAAAAAGGTGTGACTGGACCTGTGTGCATTCTAATGCTGAGTCCTGGGCGGGTAGGACAGAGCCAGTGCTTAGTTAATTCCCTGAAAGACAGAGAAGACACAGTCTTTGACTCTAACTCCAAGGGGCTGGCTTGTCCAGAGAAGAGCCTGAAATGGATCTCCTGGCTCAGGCCTCAGGTTTCCTCCTGGACGGCCCCCGCAGTGAGCCAGGGGCACTGCTGTCCCCCCAGGGGCCCAAGCCAAGTTTTGGCATCATCTGACCCCTCTCTCACCACACACCCAGTCCACCAGCCAACCCCACGGATGTAAACTATGTTCAAGTCCACCCCTTCCGGCTGGTGGTCCAGCCCCATCACCAAGGCTCCAGTTGGACTTCCAGCTTTTACCCCGATACCCTTTCCTTGTCTACCAGCTTCCTAAAGCCTGCATCAGATCCTCTCTTTCTCTCTCCTGCTCCAAAGCCTCTCACGGTCTTCCCCCTGCCCCCCAGGTGTCTTTTTAAAATTATTTCTTTTTAAAAAAAAATACATTTTATTGATTTTTTACAGAGAGGAAGGGAGAGAGACAGAGAGTCAGAAACATCGATGAGAAAGAAACATCGACCAGCTGCCTCCTGCACATCTCCCACTGGGGATGTGCCCGCAACCCAGGTACATGCCCTTGACCGGAATCGAACCCGGGACCCCCCAGTCCGCAGGCCGACGCTCCATCCACTGAGCCAAACCGGTTTTGGCTATTTCTATTTTTTAAAAATATTTAAAGAAAAACGATTTTAAATATAATAATGTTACATGCACTCTAGCGATCTTACTTGCATAAAATGCAGACTGCTCACAGGCCCAGGAAGTCCTGCGGCAGGGTCTGCACACAGTGATGATCCGCAGCCAAACGCCACCCCTGCCTGGTTTGTCAGGCTCAAGGGCTCAGAATGGATTTTACACTTATAAGTGGTTGGGGGAAAGACAAAGAATAATATTTCGTGACACGTGAAAATCATGTGAAACTTACATTTCAGAGTCCATAAATAAAGTTTTATTGGGACAGAGCCATGCCCATCCATTAAAGACGGCCATGGCTGCTCCCAAGTTGCAATGGCAGAATTGAGGCCCAAGGGCCCAAGAAATCAAAAATATCTACTGCCTGGCCCTGAACAGGAAAAATGTGCCCACCCCTGTTCTAAACACCCCCGCCCCTTGTCAGGTGCCTGAGCGCATCTCTCCCTACGTTATTTCCCCTGGCCCAGCCTCCTTTCCGGGCGCCATCCGCCCCTCTGGCCCACGTGGCTGATTTCTGTACCACTGTCTGCACTGGATGCCACTCCTTCAGACAGCCTGCTCTGACCACCCTGTCACGCTCTAGAGCATCTGTCCACAGACTGAAGGGTCTCAGGTTTGATTTCCTGGTCAGGGGCACATACCTTGGTTGAGGCTTGGCCCCTGGCACTAGTTGGGGTTCATGTGGGAAGGAGCCAATCCATGTGTTTCTCTCACATCGATGTTTCTCTCTATCTATCTCTCCTCCTCCTTCCCACTCTCTTAAAATCAACGGAAAAAATATCCTCAGGTGAGGATTAACAATAACAACAAAAAATTTCAAGGTAAGCCCGGCCTGTGTAGCTCAGTGGTTGAGCGTTGACCTATGAACAGGAGGTCACTGTTTAATCGGTCAGGGCACATGCCCAGGTTGCCAGCTCAATCCCCAATAGGGGGCGTGCAGGAGGCAGCTGTTCAATGATTCTCATCATTGATGTTTCTATCTCTCTCTCCCTCTCCCTTCTCTGAAATCAGTAAAAATATATTTAGAAAAAAGAATTTCAAGGTAAGGGGTGGGTGGAGGTGGGGGAGGATATAAGAGGGATACATGGTGATGGAGGGAAAAATAAAATAAAGAGAAAAAATAGCCCCAGCTGATCTGGCTCGGTGGATACAGCGTGGGCCTACAGACTGAAAGGTCCCAGGTTCAATTCTAGTCAAGGGCACATGCCAGGTTATGGGCTCGATCCCCAGTAGGGGGTGTACAGGAGGCAGCCAATCAATGATTCTCTCTCATCATTGATGTTTTCTATCTCTCCCTCTCCCTTCCTCCTGAAATCAGTAAAAAAAAAAATAATATATATATATGTATATGACTGTATATATATATATATATATATATCCACTTTTTCTTAAGAAAAAGATGACTATGTTTAGGTCCTAATTTCAGGACAGTGAGAACAGAGCATTAAACCACATAAGAACCTAAACAGGGCCTGACACACAGTACGTGCTTAATAAATGTTTGTTGAATAAATATGAGAGAAAGAAAGAGAGAGATTGGTTTTCCAGGAAGCATTAAGGCAGGGGTCCTCAAACTTTTTAAACAGGGGTCCAGTTCACTGTCCCTCAGACCGTTGGAGGGCCGGACTATAGTTTTTAAAAAAACTATGAACAGATTCCTATGCACACTGCACATATCTTATTTTGAAGTAAAAAAACAAAACGGGAACAAATACAATATTTGTATTTGCATGTGGCCCGCGGGCCTTAGTTTGAAGACCCCTGCATTAAGGCATTGGGAGTCTATGAATCTCTAACACCCCAATCTTCTTTCTTATGGGATTTTCCAAAACCTGAAATAAGGGCAGCAGGCCGGTGGGAGACCAGCCCCAGTTAACTCCTATTTGATGGATGGGAACACCGAGGCCCAGAGGGGGCTGGGGAAAAAAGGCCCAGCTCAAGTATTGCCACCTGCTGGGGCCTTGAAGGAAAGGCTGGTATTAGAGGGAGCAGAATGGAGCGGGAGGCAGCAGAGAAGGACAGGAGCAAAGGTGTGAGGGCTGGACCGTGTGTGCTGAGAAGAGAGGAATAAAGGTCCGCAGAGACCTGAGGTGGGATCTCTGCAGTCACGGGTGTTTGCTTTCTTCCCTCGGGGAGCTGAACAAAGGCTGAACCTGACTCCTGCTGCCTGCGGAGAAACTGGAGCCGGGCGGAGGGAGAGATGGCAGATGCCGGGTGTGTGTGTGTTGGGGGGGCGGGGGAGAATGGAGGACAAGCTACTCCCCCAGGCCTCCCAGCTGCTGCTACAGCTCCGGTTCCCCCAGCCCAACCCCGGCGCCTCCCTGCTCAGAGCAAACACTATTCCCACCCCCAGACACCCAGAGACCCTCATACCCAATTGGACATTTTAACACCCTCCCGTCCCCGTTCTCTCCCGCTTGACCCTGTGCCACACACCTATCAAAACACACCCATGCCCTGAATTAGGAGTCTTTTTTATTTAGTTGCAAAAAACTTTTTGAAAGACTTTATTTCAAAATAAGTCTGCTTTTGAAATTAAAGTTATTTGTTTGGTGTAACTACTGGTGACAACTTCTCAGAAATTCTAATGTGAAAAATTCAAGTTAGGAATCGATTCCAAACTAGAGGTAAAAATTTAGGGTCATTCCACAGTAAATGAAACTGAGCTTATGTCATGTTTTGTAGGTTAATGAGTCATTATTTTTTCTCCATTTCTCTCTCTCTCTCTCTCTCTCTCTCTCTTCTTTTCAATCAATGCACTGCCCCCCCCCCAAAAAAAAAGCCAAGATCATGTTCACAGCAACACAGCCCTGGGAGAAGGAAGTCTGGTGTCTCAATTCCAAGCTGTGTGACCTTGGGCAAATTCCTTAACCTTTCTGGGCCTCCATTCCTCATATATAAATGGAGATAATGAAATCTACCATTTCATTAAGAGAATTAAATGCACTAACATCAGAAAAAAATACATGGTAAGATATTTATAGCACCTGAATAGAAATAAAATAAAATGAATTCAATAATTCTCAATTAAAAATGAATAATAAAAAAATTAATTAAAAAATGAAAAGCAATGTTAAAATCAATAAATAAAACAAAATAAGCTGGAAAAACTGAGGGAACCCACAGAATGGGTGGCAACAGATCCAAAGTCACCCAGCTTGTCCAGGACAGGATTCTAACCCAGAGCCACCTGACTTGGAAACCAGGATTGTGGCCCTGCCTCCGTTTTCTGGCTTTCAAGGACTCCTCTGGCTGTGCCCTCTCTGCCCTCAGCACCCCCTTATGTTCTCTGCTCCAGCCAGAAGAGCCTGCTTATAATCCAGTGGTTCTCAACCTTCTGGCCCTTTAAATACAGTTCCTCATGCTGTGACCCAACCATAAAATTATTTTCGTTGCTACTTCATAACTGTAATGTTGCTACTGTTATGAATCGTAATGTGAATATCTGATATGCAGGATGGTTTTAGGCAACCCCTGTGAAAGGGTCGTTCGACCGCCAAAGGGGTCGCGACCCACAGGTTGAGAACCGCTGTTATAATCCCGTATGTCTCTAAATCATCCAGGCCCGGTCTAGCCTTTACCAGTGGTTCTCAACCTTGGCTGCACATTAGAATCACCTGGGAATCTTTTTAAAATCCTGATTTCTGGGCCTCATCCTCCGGAAATTATTTCTTTGTTACTAATATTGTGGCCCCACCCCCATAACAAAGAAATAATTCCCAGAGGATGAGGCCCAGAAATCAGAATTTTAAAAAGATTCCCAGGTGATTCTAATGTGCAGCCAAGATTGAGAACCACTGCTCTAAACCTTTGTCCACGCTGGTCCCCATCCTTCTTCCAGGTTCCTCTCCAGCGCTGCCTCCTCCAGGCAGCCTCTCTGATTGCTCTGGGCTATGCCTGCCGATAGAAGGCCCTATCACTTGGTGGAAAGTCAGGCACACGTGTGTTTGAACCTCATGCTACCACTTGGCTTTGTGTGCTCTGTGACTGGCAGAGGGGAGGTAACCTCTCTGGGCCTGGTTTCTTCGTGCTGTAAGTGCGAAGTCACGCCTGACCAAGGTCAGCACAAAGGGGCACTCTGACTCTACATCCAAATCCTCACTGAAGTCTCTCAATCTACGCCCTGGGCTGGCCCCCACATTGGCAGGAACTGGGGGGCAGGAGGGGGTGGGGATGACTGAAGAAGCAGCATTTCCCTTTGGAGGTACACAGTCCAAGGTATCGTTTCAAGCCCTAGCTGGTTTGGCTCAGTGGATAGAGCATCAGCCTGAGGACTGAAGAGTCCTCGGTTTGATTCTGGTCAAGGGCACGTACCTCCACTGCAGGCTCGATCCCTGGCCCTGATTGGGGTGCATGCAGGAGGCAACCAATCGATGTTTTTCTCTCTTTGTCTCTCCCCGTCCACTCCACTCTCTCTAAAAATCAATGGGAGAAAAAAAATTAATGGAAAAATATCCTCCAGTGAGGATTGAAAAAAAAAGCTAGCTTTAAGGGAAGCCAGCTGGACCCCACCTCAGGGCCTTTGCACTGGTTGTTCCCTTTGCCTGAAATGCAGTTCCCTCAAGTAAACACACCAGTCCCTCCTTCTTTCCCTTCTGGTCTTTGCTCTAATATCAGCTTCTTGAAAAGGCTTTTGCTGACAACTGGTTTAAAAGTGCAACCTAGCCGAAACCGGTTTGGCTCAGTGGATAGAGCGTCGGCCTGCGGACTGAAGGGTCCCGGGTTCGATTCCGGTCAAGGGCATGTACCTGGGTTGCGGGCATATCCCCAGTAGGAGATGTGCAGGAGGCAGCTGATCGATGTTTCTCTCTCATCGATGTTTCTAACTCTCTCTCTCTCTCTCCCTTCCTCTCTGTAAAAAATCAATAAAATATATTTTTTAAAAAAATGTGCAACCTAGCCCCGCTGGGTAGCTGAGTTGGTTAGAACATTGTCCTGATACGTCAAGGTTGCAGATTCAATTGGTCAGGGCACACATAAGAATCAACCAATGCATGCAAGAACAAGTGGAACAAATCAATGTTCCTCTCTCTCTTTCTCTCTCTCTAAAAAAAGTATTTTCAAAATAAAAATAAAATTGCAACCTATTCATCCTACACAGCTCAGTTTCAAATGACTGACAACCGTCTCCCTAGACACTCCAATCCCTGTTCCTTACTTTCTTTGTCTCAATGGCACAAAATATGCCTTTCCACTCATTTATCTTGTTTCGTGTTCTTCTCCCCCACCCGGCTGTCAGCGCCTGACGACAGAGATTTCTGTCTGCCCTATTCATTGCTGTTCGTTCTATGCCCAAACAGTGCCTGATGCAAATTTTTGCTGAAGAAATAGTCAAAAGCAAGAGATCTGGTGAACACACAATACAATATACAAATGGGGTATTATAGAATTGTACACCTAAAACCTGTATAATTTTACTAGCCAATGTCACCTCAATAAGTTCAATAAATTTTTTTAAAAAATATATTTTATTGATTTTTTACAGAGAGGAAGGGAGAGAGAGAGTTAGAAACATCAATGAGAGAGAAACATCGATCAGCCGCCTCCTGCACATCTCCCACTGGGGATGTGCCCGCAACCCAGGTACATGCCCCCGACCGGAATCGAACCTGGGACCCTTCAGTCCGCAGGCCGATGCTCTATCCACTGAGCCAAACCGGTTTCCACAAGTTCAATAAATTTTTTTCCCAAGGGTAGTTGGCAGCTTTATCATGTAAAATACTGACAATGAAATGTGACTTGAAAAAGCACCTAATATGTGACAGTAAAAATATGTAGATAATGACAGCATTGTTGATTTTAATCCTCATCTGAGTAGATGCTTAGAGAGAAGAAAATGAGAGAGGGAGAGGGAGGAAAGGAGAGAGAGAGAGAGAGAGAGAGACCTGGACATCAAACCCGCCACCCAGCTATGTGCCTTGACCTGGAATCAAACCGGCCGCCTTTTGGTGCCCAGGACGACACTTAACCAATTGAACCTCGCCGACTGGACTGAATTGTATTTTTTAATCAATTAAATTCCTTGAATGTGAAGTTGCTCTGACGTATGAAAACTATAAAAACTTTGCCTGTTAAAAACAAAAAAAGAGAGCAAGGTCCCCAAGAAAGTGAGTCCTCAGAAAATCAGGTGGTCACTGTAGCTGGGGAGAACAGAGATCTCCTGGGAGACGTGTTATTGGAGCCAAACTAGAAGGGACGGGAAGGGTGTGGGAGGCAACAATTCTGGGAGCTGGCATTCCAGGTGGAGGAGCAGCTTAGGCAAAGGCATGGTGGCTGGAAGCCTGAACAGGAGGAGACCGTGAGGACATCGTGACAGCAGGGGGCAGTGGAGAGGAAATAAAGGGGTAA